TTTTTTTTTGGCAGATATCTGCTGAAACCATATTGCTATTGCCAAACTGCTACTCATTTTTCATGCTAAAGTTGATTTCAGTCCCTTGTGTTATGAATAATTTTGTATAAACAAACAGGATAGATAATATTTAATTCATGTATCAATTTTCTGAACTGTGCGAATAAATTTTTCAATACATTTTGACTTGTTCATTTCACACATCACTAAAAAGAAGCATTTCATGTGGTGTAAAAAATATTCGTTTTCGTTCAACATATAATTGCAATATAATCAAAAACCGGTTGTAGTTTGGAAATAAATTTGAAGCAGATTATATTTGCAGTACTCAAAAAAGAAAATTGTTTGGTACCTGAGAACAGTGAATAATTTTACAATCAGTTCATTATGTAATGTGTACATTTGAAAGTTAGAATCACTACATAAATCCAAATTCTTTGATTGATACAAATGTCAAATGTTTGTTAATAGTAGGGAAAACCTGCCATTTTTATGAGAAGACCACCAGAACTGTTGCACGAATAGCAAGCAAAATTAGTATCGAAAGAGAGTCTATTTTAGAAAAACGTTCTTGGTGGTCTAGTGTAGGATGATTGAGATAGGTCAAGTGAAGTTGCCGCGTTTGCAAACTTCGTGGGGGGTCTTTGCACGATACATTCAATAACGCAAGTATTCTTGCACAAGAGTGATGAATCTGTGTGGGTGGCATCTTCAAAATTTGTCTCTTAATTTTTCTCGTTGAACATACCAAGGAATAATATTTTTTATCTACTATATATCGTCGACTTTAGTCATATTTTATCTAATTTCACTTTGTCAGTGATATATCTGTAGTGCTCAGTAAAAAAATATGAATTATAGAAATAGAAGTTAGAATATTATACTTCTAAAAGGTTTGACCAAGATGTATAGTCATGCCACTTCACTGCTTTTATTGCATGAATCGTATTTACACTTTTTTTAACTTATCAATTAACTGATCACCTCACCTCACATCTGTCATCACCCAATTATTTGACAAATAATAGATACATTACCAAGATCTGAAATGCTTTGATACCGAACTTGCGTTATACATATAACGGCTTTAGGAAAGTTAAAAAAAAAAAAAAAAA